AAATTAAAACTCAGACTTCATAGTTTTAACGGTAGCTGTAAGGTGGTTCTGTATCATTACCTATAACTGCAGAATAAAACCAAAGCAAAACATACAATTATGTTTAAGGCATACTTTTTATGACCGATATAAAACTTGAAGCAGTCTTAGACCTTCATTAAAACCTCATTACAACTATCATCTTTATCAGAGGCCTAATATTCACAGATAAGAAATATACTACAACAATAACAAAAAATACTCTGAAAATTGTTACCAATATAAAAAACAAATCTATTCATATACATGAAATGAAAACCCCTTCAGTGCTTTTGAACACGATGAAGATGAGACGATCGCCAATATGAAACTCCAGGAGGATCTACAGTTATGGGCTCCCTCATATAACATAAGGCACAGTGCGGTGAAGGAGCTCTTAAAATATTGAACAAGCGGTTTTCCAATACACATCCGAAAGATCCACGAACCCTTCTTAAAACAACGCAAACAGTTTCACTAAATCCGGTTGGAGACCGGTATTGGCATCACGGTTTTAAACCTTGTATTGAAAAAGCTTTTAGTGGATCCAATAAGCATTTCTTACATCTTGATTACAAGAGAAAATAGGAGGATCGCTTGAAATGTTGACTTTTTGACAGGTTGCCATGGTTTTTGTATTGTTTTGATTCGCTGTACGGAATAAAACCAACACGCTAGTTATAGAGCTTAAATATAACTTACCGCTCTCAATTTGGACTACGAAATGCTAAGATACAACCATTAGGTTTATGTTATGCTATAGAATTCCAATCTAGGAGAATATGTTATATTGAGGTATTTATAAGGAGCAGCAAGTTATAACGAAAATAATGTCGTCGTATGAACAAATTTCACACATAATGAATAATTACGCTTTAATTGATAGGCGATAAAACACTTTCATACATTTATGTATATTAAAATAATATGTGACTGGTTATTGCTCAACAGTAGTAACAGTTTTTTACTAAATAGATAATCTTTTAATGACTCTTTAATGCAAGGTGCTAATGCAGACAAATTAAGATATCCCTATATTTTAGTGTTCATATGGCGCACTAAGTGTATGCTCCTATTTGGTATAATAATCACCATAAATATTGCACGGTATGCTCTGAAGCATATACAGATTGGTTCAAAGTTGTAATAAAGTCGTCTTATTTTCAATATACAATAATATCAACTATTATTACAAACTGACAAGGATCATGATTTCACATCGAAAGAATAAAACCACAATAAAATATTTCTCAATATTAACTATCATCCAAAAACCCCAACTTAAAACCTTCAAGGTTGTCAAAATGTTTTGCGTATCATGTTTTTTAAACTTCTTCAGGTTTCAGGAGCGATTTATGCGGTTGTAATATAGTTTTATGGTAGTCATCAAAAGGTTGTTAAAACTTTCTGATCTGGAGGAGGTATATATTTTCCTTTTTAAGAACCACGTGTAGCGTGTGATAAAACTGACATAAAACCTATGCTCCTAAGGAAGTTTGCATATCAAGTTTTAATGATTGCATTAAAACTGGGCCAATTGGCCATGACATGGCTGTATAGCGGTTCTCAGGAGGTTGTTAAAGCAATGTGGTCGTCAATGAAGGTTTTATAATTTGGTTATATCAACTGCTATAAAACTTCAATAAAACAAAAATTGTTGCTTGGGAACGATATAAACTAAAAAGGGGAAGCTTTAGCTGAGTGTACACTGATATTCGGCCTTCCAACCTGTTGCAGACACCAGTGTTACCCCTGTCCAGCAGCAAATGCGAGTGCCCAATCATTGAACTGAAAAATATGGGATTGTTCGGTCCGATTCGCTGATCCAGCTGCCTACACGTCATCATCATCTTCCAAAGGCTTTAGACCTGAGCTACCATCGGCCCTAATCAAGGCCACCATGATTTTCCAAAAGAGTTAAATTTCTGCTCCTACTGCAGTTAACATATAACATTTATTATATAAGACCACGTTGTCCTACGTCACCATTGCGTACAACCGCATAGGGCTGTCCCTTGTAGTTTTTGTTTGTGATTAGGGACAACCATAAACTAGTTATCTACAGAAAATCAGATCAGTTGATTGAAGGACAGTCATGAAATAGTGGTGGGTGGGCCCCAAGTAACACAAATTTGATGATGATGATGATGGTCCCACGTTTTCCTACAAATGTTTGAGCTGGACGATTTACGACTTTACTGAAAGTTTGATATGTCTAGGCATCAAATTGAAAACATTTATTCCTTCATAATATAATGAATTTTGCGAAGCACAAGTCAAAAAATGTGGTGTTCTTATTTCAACCGCGTTTCTATGAGAGTCACTTCCTCTTTAAATTCGATCACACAAATATCGAGGCAGCAAACTGTGAACTACTTTGAAAATGAACACCATAGTCAAATATACAATTCTTTGCTTCACCGACAACCATTGTAAGGCGTCTAGCATCAAAGTTGAGGAAGTGAATCTATTACATCTCAAAATCAAACGCATTATTTTATTCTGCAAGCGCTGTAATCTCGATATTTGTGTTGCATTGGACAGAAATAAAATGGATCGTCAAAATTCTAGATGAGGAGAGATGATTGATTTGTATAGCTGTATTTTACTGGCAATAGTTAAATCGTTTTTCAATCGACATAGAATTCCATACTTCTTGGCAATTTTCTTGATGACATTGTTAATGTGAGAGTTGAACTTAAGTTTGTCATCAACAATCACACTAAGATATTTAATCTCCCGAACGCGATCAATAGTCTCACCATCAATTACAACAGAGACGTTCTCATTTAATCGATTCCGCGAAATTACCATAAATTTAGATTAACTTGTATTCAATTTTAGCTGCTTATACTTCAACCATCTACTGTGAGAACGCAAATCTTCATTCAAGTGTAAAACGGCATCATCTAAACCTTAGCTGCAATGAATAACACAGTATCATCTGCAATAAGATTAATGTCGCAAAAACGTAAAACACGTTGCAAGTCATAAATATGCATAATAAATAACAGGGGCCCTAAAACACTTCCCTGGGGCACTCCAAAGCACAGAATCATTAAAAACAGTCCGTTGACTTCTGTCAGATAAATAGCTTTCATACCATTTATATGCAGTACTCATAATTCCAAAGCGCTTGATTGTACTTAACAGTAAGGGCCTAGAAATGGTTTCAAAAGCGCGTTTCAGATCCACAAAAAAACAGCAGAGTCGTATCTTTACGCTCCAAGTTGTTTTTCCATTTTGCTAACACCAAATTCAATGCATTTTCACAAGAATGACCTTCCCGATATCCCGATTGTTCTGGTATCAACAAAGAGTTGCTATTCAAATACTCCAACAGCTGGCCTTTAACAACAAGTTCTAAGATTTCCTCTAATGTGTGCAACATGTTGATAGGACCAGGCATGGAAAATCATTTGCATTCATTTCGTGCATTCATTTACATTCATTTGCCCCAAACTTTTTTCATCAACAGAATTCTGCAAAATGGTGTATGGAGCTTTTGTAGGTTTTGTTATTAGCTACAACTTTTGTTATCAATTCAAATCCGTATTTCTTATGTATGACGAACCAGTGCAAACTGAAGCCACTACTGTTTTTCAGTGAATGTATTTCACATTTACTGAAAAACAGAAACAAGTTCTGCCCGCTCTAATTCGTGCTGCATAAGAGATACAGACTTGAGTTATGGGCAAAAGTTGTAGCTAATAACAAAATCTACTAAAATCGTTTTCAAAGCGTTATTAAGAAAAGCTGATTCAACAAGATTCGAAACAGCCTGTTTCGAATATTTCCTCCAGCACTTCAATTTTACTAATTCATCGTTGTTATTTATATTATCTAATACAATAATCACTAAGGTCTCATGATTGGTTATTTTCAAATCAGTATCCGTAACTGAAAACATGGAATCAAAATTGGAATAAACGTGGTCAATTAAAGTTCTACTGTGCCTGGAAATACGCGTATACTCATTTACCGTTTGCTTTAAATTAAAAAAAAAACTCAGCTAAACGCTTCAAATGATTCGAATTATGGTTATCACGCCAATTAATATTAAAATCACCAGCCAATATATTTAATTTACTAGAATCAAGGAATTTATCGAGCCAGTTCTCTAAAACTTCAACAAAACGCTGGTCACTAGAACTGGGAGAATGATACAAAAAACCATAATTACCCATCTTCGTGCCACGTACAACTGTAATGCCCAAGAACCAGTTGCCATCAATAACTTCGTTGGTACGGTTGGTTGGTCTAGAATGTGATAAACAAGCAGCAACAATATATCCCGGAATACTATACTGATCAAAAGCTTCAGTTTCTACAATATGAGTTTCAGATAATAAAACTAAAAGAGGACGGTTTTCCTCAAAAATCTGACGTAATGCTACGTAGTTTGTTGACAACCCCGAACTATTCAAATACAAAAATTCGAATTGATTCACATTCCTGGAACTTGGCTACTATTTATTGAAACGCAAGCTGCTTTTCTTCTGATCAAAAAGTCTTTTATAGAGCAAACATTCTGAGCTAAATGCGGCATGGTTGACGTCCAAGTTCATTTTACGTTCTTTATTCATTTTCAAACATTTAATACATATCAAAACAGTTGATGTACACTCCGACGGTTTGTGTTGTTGGCTGCATAGAGTTATGTTGAGTAAACTGCTATACAGCCTAAACCAGTTATATAAAGGTTATATACTCTGTTATAGAACATGTGTGTTGCTTGGTACGGTACCTCCCAGCGCATATATGGAGGAGTTACTGTATATAATGCACCACATCAAAAAACAGAGGTCCAAGTTACAGAAGTGACAACCATTAGATCAAAATGCTTTTTTGTGAAAACAATTGTTATAACATGTTACATGTAAATTTGCAGCCTAAAGTATTTTTTACGGGCTCTGGTCGAAACAGCTATAGCTAATTGAAACAAACAAACAAACTGCTCAAAACCACCGATTTATACTTACAAAACAACTGTAGTTGTCAGTTTGACGAAGCCACTGCAAGCCCAATTACATATGCGCACAAACAATGAAAGGCGGCACGCAAGTCAAAGTGATGCATCGTAACTTTAACGTTGTTGATTTTACCATACGCCGCTCATTCATAAATTCTTCCGTTCCTGCCGGCTCACAAAGAGGGTGCTGCTGCAGGTATGTTAATGACGATTGAACAAAACGGTTCGATCATATGTTTTTCTGCGGATTGCAACCCAGTTGACCTTGATGAGATTTACTACTGCCGTTGCTGCTTCTGGTACCACTGGCACCGGTTCTGATCAATAACGGCAACAGTTAAAGCAAAGTGGTCACAAAATAAGAAGATCAACGCGTCTCACGCAGCTGAGCAAGTGGTAGGTCTTGAACTTCAGTTTCTATCTATGCTGCACATTGAACTTGCTCGCAGTTGTCCCCGTATGACGATTTTGATTTGCCTATTTCACGAGATTGACTGTTTGGAAGTAAATTTCACACTTGAACTCTTGTTTCTTCCTGCAAATTGAAATCGCAACCTTGGTTGGTCACTGCCACAACAGGAAGATCGCGAAAAAGTTCTTGGCCCTCTTGTGCACTCTGGTCGCTTATCAGCGTTGTTTACGATTTTGGTTCCGTAACACAAACAAAAATAACGTGTTGTTCAACTACGGAACGACGGATGCTAACTGATGCAGAGTAGATTTGTGCCGCGCCAACTTTTACTGCTAGAGGTACCTATCGACTATGTATAGCCCAAGTGCCACGGTATTATACCGTGCAAAACCTGTTACTAACTGGTGCTCGCTGAAGTGCACACTTTGCAGGTAACTAAACCATCATGCAATGCTCAAACGGTCGGGAAGAAACGTTTAGCGATTTGGAATTTGGAAGCATGCGCGCTCACTTTATACGATGTCTGCAATAATGAACCATGTTGTAGGGCGCTTTGTACAGCGTCTCTGGAGCGCGGAAACTGAAGGCACGGGGCTTTGGTTTTGAAATAGGCTCTCGGGTTGCGAAAGTGAATTTTGCTGGTAACGAAATTAAAGTTCGCGATACCGAGGTGGGCTGAACCGTTCATTTAGCAGTGTTATTTGACTCAGTAAGGGGAAGCTCCGAAATAAATAATTACGTTTTGAGTTTTATTAAAAAATATTGGGAAAATAATCACATTTTTCAAATTTTTTCAAAGAAATTTCGCGTGCAAAACAACCTTTGGTTTTGTTGAGGGTTCTATTTTTTAAAATGATGAGATAAAAAAAACATTACATGTACATTTGCCCAGAAATCTATGAAAAAACTGATTTCCTAAGAGTTAAAAAAATAAATACTCGCCGAAATTTTCTTTTTATTTTCGGTACGATGAAACTCCCCTAATGCAATTTATAGAAAATCCCCAATGTCGTAAACGAATCAAGAAAATCCAAATTGTGATCTTTGTTATTTTTTTTTAAATATATCGGTCTGAAAACGGTGATTCTAGACGTTCCCGACAGGGCTTAAAAAAAATTGACGTGTGTTGCAGACGTTTCCCTTGTGGAGTGCAGACTCTGGGGAATAATTGTTTTATTCCTGATGAGGATTCAAGATGTTCTAACTAATTATGAAGTATTTGACGAAGAATCCGACGATGATTCCAAATGTTCCAAATGGGGACTCTTCAAATAGTCACCTCATGTGGGGTGACTCTCCATTTGATTTGCATGGTAACCTTATCATAATCCAATAATATGCGCCAAACGATGCTGCCGAGACAGGACAAGGATAATTTTTACAGTCAACTGAATGCCGTCGTGGATAAGGTTCTAAAGGGTGACATCAAAATCTACACAGGCGACCTCAATGCAAAAATCGGCTCCGACAACACGGACTATTAGCGTGTCGTGGGACGCCATGGTCTCGGCGCAATGAGCGAAAACTGTGCTGCTGTGAGCTGTTTGCATCAGCTGAAAATGGAGACGGAGCCTTCTTGATGTCCGGAATAAACGCAATGCCGGCATCGCGTCTGACCATCACTTTCTAATCGGCGAGATCCGCCTACTCATGGTGCGGATCCAGCGACGGGAGGAGAAACTCGGGCGGCGGTTCAACACACGCCGACTTGAAAATCCAGCGGTAAAATGGTCTTTCGTTGAAGAACTTGAGACTCGAGTTGCGGACGTTCCAGAAGGTGGAAGCGTAGATAAACAATGGACGGCCATCAAGAATGCATTTATAGAAACAAGCGAGAACAACCGCGCACCCAGAGGAAAGAGTGGATCACTGATGAAACCTGGCGGAAGATTGAGGAGGGTAGATAAGCCAAAGCCGCGATAGAGCGGGCGAGAACCAGAGGAGCCAAGAACGAAGCCCGTCAACGGTACTCGGCTCTAGAAAAGGAAGTCAAGCGTTCTTGCAGACGGGACAAGCGAGCGTGGGTGAACGCCCTGGTCGACGAAGGGGAGAAAGCTGCAAACACTGGCGATATACGCCACGGCGCTGAGTGGAGCAAGGATAAATCCGAGGATGCCAGTGAAGGACACGACTGGACAGTTGCTTACCGACCCCACTGACTAGCCGAAACGCTCCCTTGAGCACTTCAAACAACTTATTCAATTTTCGACGGCCTACCAGCCATCAACATCTCGGCATCACTCGCATCACCGTTTACAGAACAGATCGCAGCAATATTAACAGTCATAAATCACGTGGCGGTGGAGTGTTGATCGCTGTTTCAACTCATTTCAGCGGGTACATTGATCCCACTCCGGTAAATGTATCTCTAGAACAGCTTTGGGTTAAGTTGAAACTGCATCAATGTTCAGTTAGTATTGGTGTAATTTACCTTCCACAATGATTCCGCAAGAATGATTTACTTAGCGTGAATAACCATATCGAGTCTATCGAAGCGATACATTCATACCTTGGGAATAACGATCATGCTATTCTTCTTGGCGATTATAATCAATCGGGACTTGTCTGGAACACACCAAGCAACGATCGCCCTTCCGTAGATGCATTGCAGTCTCACATCTCTGTTGCTTGCGCCTCGATACTCGATGGCTTCAATCTGCATGGTCTGTATCAAGTTAACTATATTACTAATCAGAACACGCGAATCTTGGATTTCGCTTTTGTGAATGAAGCAACGCTCTCTCGATGGCAGATTGAAGCAGTTGTAGAACCACTCTTATTCAAGGTTGCAAAGACTCACTTCACCTAAAATAATGTTTTTCTAAATTATGAAATAATTAGATGCCATGATCAAATTTTGAATTGGTAGGATACAAGAAGAGGTTGCAAATAATGTGTTTGACATATTAAACCTGTTTATTTCACTTCATGAGAGTCACAATCAGCGATTTTTCACAAACTCACTCACTCACTCACTCACTCACTCAGCGATCAGCAAATCGCTGATTGTGACTCATAGAAAGCAAAATTTACAGGTTTTATGTTTCCAACGCATACTTTGTAACCTCTTCTTGTAAGTTACAAGTAAAACATGCCATCATACCATCTTTTGGTTTTATTATTCCAAAAAACATTATTTTAGCTGAAATGAGTCTTTGCAACCTTGCTCTTATTTCTGGATGCCGATCATCCCGCTTTTGAAGTAACTATTAGTCTCGCACAGCCTACTGAATTTGAGAGTTTCCCGGACGAACCTGGACTTGACTTTCACCGCACTGATTTTGGAGGATTACTTGAAGCACTTCGCCAAACTGACTGGCACATCCTTGAATCCGCTGAAGATATTGACATTGCTGTAGAGTACTTCACCAGTGTGCTGAAGAGTTACTTGGTTGATTTTGTTCCACTGCGCAGGCCATCTTCGAAACCACCTTGGGGAAATATACATTTACTACGACTCAAACGTCTAAGATCCAAAGCACTTCGAACCTACTGCCAGTCTCGTTGTCCTTTTTCCAAGCAACATTTCGCACATGCTAGTAACAATTATCGCACGTATAAACGTTATACGTACAAACGCTACTGCAAACGAACTCAGGAAAATCTACGCAGACATCCACGACATTTTTGGAAATTTGTCGACTCTAAACGGAAGGAGAGTGGGTTACCCGTTGAGATGTTTCTGGGCGATGAAGTCGCCACCTCCGCTTTGGAAAAGTGCAATTTGTTTGTCACTCACTTTAGAAGGGCATTTAATGATTCTACGTCGTCTGCACGTCAAATCACAGAAGCTTGTATAGATACACCTAGTGGGGTCTGTTCTCTGAGAAGCTTTGCGATCACGTCGAATCAGGTGGACTCCGCAATAAACAAATTGAAATACTATATGTCCAGTCCAGATGGCATACCGTCATGCATCCTGAAAAAAAAATGAGGCGAAGAGTTGATTTTCCCTCTTACGACACTTTTCAACATATCATTACGGAGGCGTAGTTTTCCCACAAGCTGGAAAACATCGGTCATGTTCCCCGTGTTTAACAGGGGGATCGACAGAACATCGAGAATAACAGAGGAATAACTTTGTTGTGTGCTAGTTCGAAGGTTTTCGAAATCATAATAAATGATGTACTTTTCGACTCCTGCAAGAATTATATTTCTACGGATCAGCACGGTTTCTACCCCAAAAGATCAACATCTACCAATCTCGTCCAGTTTACTTCGTTTTGCATACGCAAAATTGATGCTGGTGCTCAGATCGAAACCGCATACACTGATTTGAAATCAGCTCTCGATAGAGTTGACCACGGAATATTACTGAAACGTCTAGGAAGAATTGGTGTCTCTGCGGATCTTGTTAGCTGGTTTGGATCATACCTTACGGATCGTAGCCTCACCGTTAATATCGGATATCGGAATCTTCGGAACAATTTTCAAACTTATCTGGCGTGCCACAGGGTAGCAACCTGGGTCCTTTGTTATTCTCACTCTTCATCAACGAGCTTTCTCTCGTACTACCATCTGGTTGCCGTGTGTTTTACGCTGATGACGTCAAAAAATACATGATCATTAAAGGTATCGAGGACTGCTATGCTCTACAATTGCTGCTGAATAGTTTTGCTATTTGGTGCACCAGGAACATGCTGACGTTGAGCATCCACAAATGTAACGTTATATCGTTTCATCGCAAGCTCAACCCGATTACGTATGATTATTCAATTAATGGTCAGTCCCTTGAGCGTTGTCTTCAAGTTCGTGATCTTGGTGTCATCCTGGATTCAGCCCTGACCTTCCGATCGCACTACAACGATATTATCTGTAGAGCCAACCGACAGCTGGGATTTATGTTCAAAATATCCTGCAAATTTACCGATCCTCTCTGCCTCCGGTCTCTGTACTGCGCACTGGTGCGATCGATTCTGGAATCCAACTCTGTAGTATGGTGCCCGTACCAGTCAACCTGGACTGCTAGGATCGAAGCAATTCAGAGAAAATTTGTGAGATATGCCCTACGACGCCTTTCGTGGTGAGATTCGTTAAACCTACCACAATATGGAGATCGATGCAGATTATTGGGACTGCAGACGCTTGAGCAGATACGGAAAGATGCCCAAGCGGTGTTTGAAGCTAAACTTCTCTCAGGAGAAACTGACGCACCGGAGTTACTAGGTCAACTTAACCTTTACGTTCCTGAACGATTACTTCGCCAACGGAACTTTTTGCTGCTTGAGCCCCGCAATTCCTTGTACGGCCTTCATGATCCTGTCCGCTTTATGTC